ATATATATATATATATATATATATATATATATATATATATATATATATATTTGTTGTTAAATCTCTTATCTAAATTTTGAATTATTTTTAATACATTTTGATTAATGCGTATTTTTTTTTGAAAAGTAGTTTTACTTTTAAATTATATTTATACATTAAATATTTACTATTACTAATTTTCTAGGAGAATTTTAATATTTCGTTTATTTTAGAATATATCACTTGTTTGAATTTCAAAATTTGTTAATATCCGAACTCCATAATAGTGTAACAAATACACTGTAACAAAAACAGTGTTAAGCAGTTTTAAGCATGTGATAACAAATTCAAAACGGAGATAGACTATTTTGAATGAAATTATATGAAACTATATATTTGACAAAATATAATAGTATAATATTTTGTGTAAATAACTTATTACACTATTACACTTTTATTGTTACACTATTACACTATTCGGATATTAAATTAATTTGAAAATAAAATCACTTTAAAAAAAAAACGCATGAATCAAGGTGCATTAAATATAATTTCAAAACAAAATCACTTTCCAAAAAAAAAAAATACGCATGAATCAAGATGTATTAAAGATAATTCGAAATTTAGATAAAAAATTTAACAACTAATATGATGCAAATCATAACACAACTTCAAGGGATTTAGTTCAAGTTCCAAGTGGACCGGTTACGAGAGCACGAGCAAGGAAATTTAAAGAGGTACTCAATGGACTAATTCAAGAGGCATGAAATCAAGCAAGTTTGTTGAGGCTCATTGACCATGATCCACTTGGGCAACAAAAATTCATCAACATGATTCAAGTTTTAGAAGAATCCAGCTAGGGGCTATGGCTAAGATTCAATTGGTTTATTGTTGTTAAGGCCTCCAATTTGTCTAAAGGATTAGAATTATTAATAAGTGGGCTTGAGGATGCTTAGCCCACATGTTTTATTTCTTATGAAGTAGGGTTTTCAAAGTTACTGTAGCGTGCACTGTTCATGCTACAGTACGTGCACTATTCTTTATTTTTAGGGTCTAATTGTAAGGCTTGTATGCCAAGTACTTTCCTTTTTCTATNTTTAATTGTAAGGTTTGTATGCCAAGTACTTTCCTTTTTCTATTTAGTCATGTGCTCAACTATTTAAAGGGCTTAATGTCTTTCATTTTTTCTTCAACAGTCTTAGAAAAGTAAGAGATATTTCCTAAGTAGGATAACTATTTTAGGAAGATTCATAATCCTTGTAATGACCAGCCTATAAATAGGCATTCAGATCAATGAAAATTTAGATCATTATTCAGCAAATTTTGAGAGTGTTTTCTCTTTGGTTCTTTGAAGAACTAAACGAACTTATNCTTTCATATGCTCCTTTGTACGTATCAACCAACCGAGAGCCAATTCCTTTTCTATAATACTCCCAGTCTATGGGTATGGGTTCGGGCATGATTCAAAAAGTGAGAATCTATAATCATTTAATAGTAAGAGCAATCCAAAAGGGTCACTGGTTCATTGTCTCAGTAGGACCCAATAATCTTGAGATTGTGGGTTTGAAACAGAGGGCAATCATTTCGTGCAAATGATGTTGAACGTTAGGTCTGCTTCTAGTCTACCCCCCTCAAGATCCACCTTAATGGGGACTAAACTAGGTGGTATTTTCTCGTAATCAAACTACTCAAAAATGCAATCCGCAAAACAAATTCATTCTTGAAATGTTGCTCAAGTAAAATTACAGTACTAGCCCTACCCCAAGGCAAGTGAGGCCGTCGCTTAGGCCCCACTTGCCTAGGGCCGTCACATATATTTTACAAAATTTTATGATTAAATTTTTAAAAAATAAAAAATTAAGATGTTTCGTAAAATTATCAAAAAGATTTTTAAAATATTATTCTTTAGTTATCATTTACTGAAGACATCAATTTCACATGTGGGGAAAGTCACTTCAATGTTCAAATCAGTTAACAGGCCCAGCTGAAAGAATCACTCAAACTCCACCTTCGAGCAAATCCGTTCTGAACAAGCCGACCCAGACCAAACAGTGGGTTGCCCAAGCTTAGCTAAAAAAAATTGACACGCTTGGCTCCTTTATCTTGTGAGTCTATATCAAACAAGCTTAATGACCTGATTAGAAGCCAAGCCAAGCCAAGCCAAAGTAACCTAATAACAAGTTCTAATACGTTCAACATGTCACGAGCTCTAAAATGTGTTCAAGCTCAGCTTATTTGTCTGAGGTCCTCAGCAAGTCACAAGCTTAGATTGAGTACCTCAATCCGTTTCACAGTCCTACTAATAACCTTTTGTTCTGAAATAAAAACTACTTCAACAAAAATCAATATTTGTGCAATATTACAATTTAAATCACCCGTGTACACATTGATCCCCACAAATGGATTAACATACACTTAGGCCCTCGTACCAATTTGCAATCAGACTAAGCATCAATTCTCAATCACAAATACCTTCCAATTTATCAACCATAATCAAAATCGATCAGTCATTCTCACTACACTAGAAAACCCCAAATAGCCGTAGATTATAGATCTGTACTGTACGTGCAGGATCTTGCACAATATAAACACGAGAACAGATCTCTCCCGTGATGAACTCGAGTTAGTCAATCGAATGGTCAACCCTGCTGCTTGGAACAGACTGTGAGGTCCGGTGGTGGCCTGAAACGGTAATGGGTGACTCTCGTGGATCAATGGAGCCGTCCAGTAAGGCTGAGGGAGGTTCCTGGAACAGAAAAAAATGAGTTAGGAAGGCGCCAGAGTGTTTTTCGGCGCATCCCCTCTGACGATCAAGTGAGTTTTTTGAGAGAGGGGAAGGAGAAAATACTGTATTTGTTTGAGAAAATGTTCTTTGTTGCATACCGTCTTGCCTTTTGTGAAGAGTATTTATACCTCAAAAACTCATGATTGCTGTCAGTGTGGTCAGTAGGTGATCATTAGATACGGAAAACGTGCGCACTGATACATCTGAGGAATGTCTTCTCTCTTAACTGCTCGGGACCTCGAGCAACCAATTCTTTGTCATCGGTCTGCCGAATGTTTAATGAGCTTCTCTCGGCAAGGATGTAATAAATGTCCAGTCATAAAGACATTTATTACCTTTCACTTCTGAGTCTTACTGCATTAAATGATGTCTCATCAAGGAAATGGTGNTTCTTTGTCATCGGTCTGCCAAATGTTTAATGAGCTTCTCTCGGCAAGGATGTAATAAATGTCCAGTCATAAAGACATTTATTACCTTTCACTTCTGAGTCTTACTGCATTAAATGATGTCTCATCAAGGAAATGGTGCACTAAATGCTTGTTTTTTCAAGTCGTGTGTCAGCAAGGGCATCTCGATCTTTTTGTCTTTGATTTGACACAATATGCCACGCGCTCATTCCCCATTGTGTCTTTTGCCTTCTTGTGCCTTCTGACATCAATTGTGTAAGACGAGGTCATGATGACTAACTTAGTCTAGCCTAAGCTAATGACCTATACATCAATAGCCTCTGCNGTGTCTTTTGCCTTCTTGTGCCTTCTGACATCAATTGTGTAAGACGAGGTCATGATGACTAACTTAGTCTAGCCTAAGCTAATGACCTATACATCAATAGCCTCTGCAGGAGCAGAAAACGTCATCCTAGACGGGTACATCTCGGTACCGAGGGAGTGATACATGTAGGGACCGATGTACCCCATATCCGACCGAGAGATACGTGTCGGTACGTAATGTACTGGGNTGATACATCTGAGGAATGTCTTCTCTCTTAACTGCTCGGGACCTCGAGCAACCAATGCTTTGTCATCGGTCTGCCGAATGTTTAATGAGCTTCTCTCGGCAAGGATGTAATAAATGTCCAGTCATAAGGACATTTATTACCTTTCACTTCTGAGCCTTACTGCATTAAATGATGTCTCATCAAGGAAATGGTGCACTAAATGCTTGTTTTTTCAAGTCGTGTGTCAGCAAGGGCATCTCGATCTTTTTGTCTTTGATTTGACACAATATGCCACGCGCTCATTCCCCATTGGTTGTGTCTTGTGCCTTCTTGTGCCTTCTGACATCAATTGTGTAAAACGAGGTCATGATGACTAACCTAGCTTAGCCTAAGCTAATGACCTATACATCAATAGCCTCTGCAGGAGCAGAAAACGTCATCCTAAACGGGTACATCTTGGTACCGAGAGAGTGATACATGTAGGAACCGATGTACCCCATATCCGACCGAGAGATACGTGTCGGTACGTAATGTACTGGGTGTCATTGATCCCTATGAACAGTACCTCGGGGAAGAGGGACTTGTGAACCGACAGATACGTGTCGTGATCACAGTAACAAGAATTTACTGATGCCGAAGACATGTGTCTTCATCTTGGAGTATTTGAAAATGTCCCATCATGTACCATAATCACTACAAACAAAACCCTAGAATACATATTTAGGTGTAAATATAGAAAGAGAGAAAGAGAGAGGACCTGACTGAACTTGGTTTGGAAAGCAGAGTTGCCACTTCGAAGGCACGCCGGAGGTTAACGAACTCCTTGCGAGCCTTGTCGAAGACGAGAAGCTTCGCCATACCATNAGAGAGAGGACCTGACTGAACTTGGTTTGGAAAGCAGAGTTGCCACTTCGAAGGCACGCCAGAGGTTAACGAACTCCTTGCGAGCCTTGTCGAAGACGAGAAGCTTCGCCATACCATCCCAGTCTATGGTCTTCCCCGCCTTGAATGTCACGTCCTCTATCTTCTTCGCCACTCCGCTCTCTCTCTCTCCTCACAAGCGACCCCACGACGATGAGCTTGAGCTCCTGTAAAGTGTGAGATGCAAAAGGCCTTTTTCGCAAAGGGAAGGAATGCGCTCCTTCAACCTTTGTGCTTCGNTTTTCCCCGCCTTGAATGTCACGTCCTCTATCTTCTTCGCCACTTCGCTCTCTCTCTCTCCTCACAAGCGACCCCACGACGATGAGCTTGACCTCCTGTAAAGTGTGAGACGCAAAAGGCCTTTTTCGCAAAGGGAAGGAATGCGCTCCTTCAACCTTTGTGCTTCGTTCGGCCCACAATAGTTTGAGAAAATTGTGGGCCCATCTATTAGGACGTGGCCCATTGATCCATCATTATTCTGGATGCAGGCCTGGGCTAGAAGTCTTAGTCTACAGCAAAAAATGTTGTGTATAAAATGTAATAATTCAAAGTATCTCCACATTTTTAAAAGTGAGTCTCATGAATTCAAATCCCCTCTTGTATAATTTCGTTATTTTTTGATCAAACATTGCGAATTTAAATGGGACCTACTATATATAGGTATAAGATGAATGATCTAACATTGAATAAAATTAAGAAAAAAATATAGTAGACGTTATCAAGTTTTCAAGCTGTTAATTTGTTTGGATCGGTTGCTGTGAATTTCAATTGGTCAGATCTATGACAAAAGCCCAACATAAAAACAAGTTATATATTTTCATTTACAATTGAAGCCCAATGTAGGAAGGACCGATTTTAGTAATGGAAAGAATTGGGGGGTCAAATTGTAATTTGAGGATAACATGCAATAAGAAAATTTTATTGGGAAAAAAAAATAATTTAAGGATAATTACTTTGGATTAATTAATAATTGTGAGTCCTAATAAATGCTGGAACCCACAGTGAAATCAATGGTTGAGATTATCAAGTCTAGTTTTTAAGTCTACTTTTTAAGTTTATGTATCATTGCTCTTCATGATAACTACTTCACATTTTAATTTAAAAAAAAATTAATTTAGCATATTAATAAATATTTTTTCAATAACATTTAGGTTGATAGTGAGGGGTAGGATGAGTTTGTTAGGGTAAGTATATAAATACTGAATCTAAATTCCCTTCGATTCATTTTCTTTTTAATTCCTTCATAAGTGGATCATTTACCATTAATAAGTAAGAGATTTACTTATATACAATAAGTTTTACTTGAATATATAACATATGATTCATCGAGGAAAAAAATATATTTGAGAGAATCTCACTCTATAAATACTGTGGATTCCATGGAGCTATCAATTCTTTCAAATGTAACAATTATTAGGACNAATTCATGTATCATTGATCTTCATGATAACTACTTCACATTTTAATTTAAAAAAAAATTAATTTAGCATATTAATAAATATTTTTTCAATAACATTTAGGTTGATAGTGAGGGGTAGGATGAGTTTGTTAGGGTAAGTATATAAATACTGCTTCTAAATTCCCTTCGATTCATTTTCTTTTCAATTCCTTCATAAGTGGATCATTTACCATTAATAAGTAAGAGATTTACTTATATACAATAAGTTTTACTTGAATATATAACAGATGATTCATCGAGGAAAAAAATATATTTGAGAGAATCTCACTCTATAAATACTGTGGATTCCATGGAGCTATCAATTCTTTCAAATGTAACAATTATTAGGACTAATAATTAAGTCGAATTATTCGGGTTCAGATAAGATTTGATTCAAACTCGGCCCGTGTTCTAAATGAGTCAAATTTGAATATTTTTTTAGACTCGTTTAAAAAACACTGCTCAAAAGCACGATTCGTTTNATTATTCGGGTTCAAATAAGATTTGATTCAAGTTTGAATATTTTTTTAGACTCGTTTAAAAAACACTGCTCAAAAGCACGATTCGTTTATACGAAAAATAATTGATTTATTCGGATTTAACTCATATTCTGAATGATTCGAAATTAAATAATTTTTCAAACTTATAAAGAAGGAAGAGCTAACAAAACTCGGCTCTTGTCGGTGCCCAAACAGTCACATCTCTCTCCTAGTATGTTGGTTAAGGTCCTATTGTGTTGGCCATAAACCGGTGCTCCATGATGGGCTTGACTTATTCCTTCACTTTGTGGTGGAAAATTCTACAAGAGAAACTTCTTCGTTGGATGGGCGATCAGTTTCTTCTCCAAAGAAACCATGCAATTTCCCCATCACCTTCCAACTACACAACAACAAAACGTTTTCCGCCCATTGAAAATAATGTCGAGATAAACTTGTCTGAAAAGTCTCTCCATCCTAACTGATCTAACCAAAGAGTCTCTTCTGTCCGATTGCGTGTTCAAAATTTACAGACTCCTAACTTTATATGCCGCCTAACAAATTAATTTTATTTAAATATATAAAAAGAATCACGTGTTAATTAGTTTTGCTTGGACTACTTGACCACTTTTGAAAATTATCAAGACTGCAAGGTCATACAATGGAAAATCCAGGGCAGTACTTTGATTGAATACTCTTGTCATATTAAGTTTTCTAGAGGTTGTCTAGAATTTGTATTCCTATAACAAATTTCTTTTTTTTAGTTCAACGGTTAGAATTGTTCGTGCTAACTTCCGCGCTTCTCGACTATTCTCCTCCAAAGTCTGGGCAAATTTTACTTTGATACTTAACCTCCGGTTTTTAACTATGCTCATGTCTCATATAACTCTTTTAATTGTCGTGTCTTTCACATTGTACTTGTAAGTATGATAATAGGTTTCATGCTTCTCCAACTGCAGACGTTTGTTACAAATTACATAGAAAATTATGTCACTTTATTTTCCGAGTCATTTAAATTTGTTTCGCTTTGTGGTAAAATCCAATGAAAATATCCAAATGCAGCCAACATTCTGTTTTGAGACAAATGTTAGACTATGAGAAACTCAACATATAATAGAGAGTTAAGTGAAATCGGGTCTAGAGTTTAATGGTATATATCATATGTACGTTTAATCTGCTAAGTGAAATAGTCGACCTATTAAAGAGTGAATGTCAGTCAGGATTTAAATCTTATCAACGTTGCGTAACAAAGTAAAACAAAGATTATGTGCAACACATGATGAGAAAGGTCAGTTCATCAGTGGCTCCTTTCTTATCACGATTTCAGTCATTTTTGGTAACCCAAAGATGCTCTTATATTCAATCACTTAGACTAATTTTTGACGTATAGCTGAAGTATACTTAGCCTAATCTTAGACCATAATCATGTGAGTTTTGCTTTGAAATATTAGTACTGGCTTATGAATGGACGCAAACATCACCTCAATACTACCAGATATATTGATTCACTATGTTTTGCTAATTCACAAGCCAAATCAAGTCATCTAGAGCTACGTAGAAGGAGTAATAATACTTATGATGGTCCATGAAACATTAAATTATGCGAAGACCCATTTGAGTAACACGGATGAAAAGACTTCGTGAGTTAGTATTTCGATGTTCTATGTTTGCTTCGATTTGCACATGCACATGGTTTACTAGGGTGATTTGCACATGCACATACATTATCATCACTAGTTATTGAATAAAGAAATAAATTAGTTCAAAGAAAAGTATGATGTGTCATTCTTTGCGAGAAAAATACAAGTGCTAGTCTAAAATGCATGGCAAAAATTATGAAATTTCAATTGAATGGACAGCCTAGCGAGGTTTGAAAACGCCACCAAAAATATCGAATCACATTGTCCTCTTAGGCCTCTTGAAAATGCCACCAATTTATCCCAATCTTTTTCTTTCTTTTTTTTCCTTCCCAAATAATCGAAGCAAACAAATGAAATAAACGGCGCTCAATGTACAAGAATCCCGTCTCACAATGTTTGGTGATAAACCATTTTATCTTCNTTGTTTAACCGACAGGATGTCCAGACCAATTTATGTGTACTTAAACTAATCTTCTCTCCAATCCGATTAAAAACAGATCATCCACGTGGAGGTTAAGGTATTCATAAGGAATAAATCCCTTATGACCCGACATTAAATAATTATCAAAATTTAAATTTAAAAAANCCTCTTAGGCCTCTTGAAAATGCCACCAATTTATCCCAATCTTTTTCTTTCTTTTTTTTCCTTCCCAAATAACCGAAGCAAACAAATGAAATAAACGGTGCTCAATGTACAAGAATCCCGTCTCACAATGTTTGGTGATAAACCATTTTATCTTCATTTTAAAGAGATTAATTCTCAGACTCCAATCTGTTATATATTACTTTGACAATTGAGTAGTTGTCATCACATTAGGTTTGATCTCTTATCCAATGAGTGAATTGGTTCTCATAAAATTGAATTATTTTAAAATGTTTACATTAAAAAAAGGGAAAGAAAAAAAGAAAGAGAGAGAAAAGTAAAAGGTACAAACGGGTATAAGGAGAAATATTATTTGGATAAAAAATATTGACAACATTTGATTTTTTTGCTTGGTTATTGACAACATTTGTTGACTCTTTTTATCGTAACTATTGAAAAGATTGTGAATTCTAATAAATAATAGAACTCAAGGTTAAATTAATGATAGTGATGTTGAAAGTTAACAAATGTTGTCAAATACTATGTAACCCAAATTTACATCCCAAATAAAGGGGATTATTGGATGAGTAGGTCTAATCAACTTTTTTAAATATGACCCACTCATTCAATGACCCTCCTTCATTTGAGATACAATTTTGAGATGCAGATTTGTATTACATAGCATTGGTCTTTATTTAATTGTGGGTCTCATTATTTATTTAAGAGCAATGCTACTTGGACAAAAATGTCCAAATAATTTTTTTTTATTGAGATCATAATCTATTCAATAATTTTAATCAATGAAGTCGGCAAATAGCATTTTCTATAGTCAAAACACTCCTGTTGTTCTAGGTGGCTGTCTGGCAGACTCAGGCCGATCATGTTTTGTGTTTGTGTGTGTGTGTGTGTGTGTGTGTGAGAGAGAGAGAGAGAGAGAGAGAGAGAGTTAGGCCTCATTTTGACTCAAGCACCCATCACCGCGTCTACTGCGAAGCGCATAGATTAACAACGCGTTTATGCAATAATCACCTCTCTCTCTTTGTGCAACTTTTAAGGTATGTCTCACAAAATGGCAGCCAAAGATCAACAACATTGTTCTTTAATGATGNAAAGAGAAAAGTAAAAGGTACAAACGGGTATAAGGAGAAATATTATTTGGATAAAAAATATTAACAACATTTGATTTTTTTGCTTGGTTGTTGACAACATTTGTTGACTCTTTTTTATCGTAACTATTGAAAAGATTGTGAATTCTAATAAATAATAGAACTCAAGGTTAAATTAATGATAGTGATGTTGAAAGTTAACAAATGTTGTCAAATACTATGTAACTCAAATCTACATCCCAAATAAAGGGGATCATTGGATGAGTAGGTCTAATCAACTTTTTTAAATATGACCCACTCATTCAATGACCCTCCTTCATTTGAGATGCAATTTTGAGATGCAGATTTGTATTACATAGCATTGGTCTTTATTTAATTGTGGGTCTCATTATTTATTTAAGAGCAATGCTACTTGGACAAAAATGTCCAAATAATTTTTTTTTATTGAGATCATAATCTATTCAATAATTTTAATCAATGAAGTCGGCAAATAGCATTTTCTATAGTCAAAACACTCCTGTTGTTCTAGGTGGCTGTCTGGCAGACTCAGGCCGATCATGTTTTGTGTTTGTGTGTGTGTGTGTGTGTGTGTGTGAGAGAGAGAGAGAGAGAGAGAGAGAGAGAGAGNTTGAAAACGCCACCAAAAATATCGAATCACATTGTCCTCTTAGGCCTCTTGAAAATGCCACCAATTTATCCCAATCTTTTTCTTTCTTTTTTTTCCTTCCCAAATAACCGAAGCAAACAAATGAAATAAACGGTGCTCAATGTACAAGAATCCCGTCTCACAATGTTTGGTGATAAACCATTTTATCTTCATTTTAAAGAGATTAATTCTCAGACTCCAATCTGTTATATATTACTTTGACAATTGAGTAGTTGTCATCACATTAGGTTTGATCTCTTATCCAATGAGTGAATTGGTTCTCATAAAATTGAATTATTTTAAAATGTTTACATTAAAAAAAGGGAAAGAAAAAAAGAAAGAGAGAGAAAAGTAAAAGGTACAAACGGGTATAAGGAGAAATATTATTTGGATAAAAAATATTGACAACATTTGATTTTTTTGCTTGGTTATTGACAACATTTGTTGACTCTTTTTATCGTAACTATTGAAAAGATTGTGAATTCTAATAAATAATAGAACTCAAGGTTAAATTAATGATAGTGATGTTGAAAGTTAACAAATGTTGTCAAATACTATGTAACCCAAATTTACATCCCAAATAAAGGGGATTATTGGATGAGTAGGTCTAATCAACTTTTTTAAATATGACCCACTCATTCAATGACCCTCCTTCATTTGAGATACAATTTTGAGATGCAGATTTGTATTACATAGCATTGGTCTTTATTTAATTGTGGGTCTCATTATTTATTTAAGAGCAATGCTACTTGGACAAAAATGTCCAAATAATTTTTTTTTATTGAGATCATAATCTATTCAATAATTTTAATCAATGAAGTCGGCAAATAGCATTTTCTATAGTCAAAACACTCCTGTTGTTCTAGGTGGCTGTCTGGCAGACTCAGGCCGATCATGTTTTGTGTTTGTGTGTGTGTGTGTGTGTGTGTGAGAGAGAGAGAGAGAGAGAGAGAGAGAGAGAGGCCTCATTTTGACTCAAGCACCCATCACCGCGTCTACTGCGAAGCGCATAGATTAACAACGCGTTTATGCAATAATCACCTCTCTCTCTTTGTGCAACTTTTAAGGTATGTCTCACAAAATGGCAGCCAAAGATCAACAACATTGTTCTTTAATGATGTCGGCTCTACACTATTATCACCCACTTTGGTTGCAGTGAGAAAAGAGGAAGAGTTAAAGACTGCGCAACAACCAGAGCAAATGGATCGAAAAAAAAAGTTGCAGTGTAGATCTGAAAAAGAAAGAGGAAAGAGATTTATAAAGGTAAATTGAAAGCTACAAGAGAGCAAAAATCAAAAACTGAGATTTGGGTCATATTCATTATGATTCAGAGTGTTTATTTTCTTGGAGATAGTTTCAAAAATAATGTCCTTGTTCGCATTAGAACCTTATTGACATTTGTTTTTTATCCTGGTTCAGCACACTTTTTTTTTTTGTTTAACCGACAGGATGTCCAGACCAATTTATGTGTACTTAAACTAATCTTCTCTCCAATCCGATTAAAAACAGATCATCCACGTGGAGGTTAAGGTATTCATAAGGAATAAATCCCTTATGACCCGACATTAAATAATTATCAAAATTTAAATTTAAAAAAATTTATTTTTACAACTCATTTATATTACCATTGAACTATCTTGGAGTTGGTTCAACATACTTTGGACATGCCTTCCATTGTTAATCCATGGAGTGAAAAACAATATTCTTCAATGATTTACATTTATTTACATCAAAGATATGCAAGGAGTTGTGGTAGTGATTGTGGCATATTGTAGCAGGAAAGTATGATAATGACTGCAGACATATTCAACCATGGAATTTTTTTTTTCCGGCTTTTGTGCAGGGGGGAGAAAGGACGAACACGAAAGTAATACTAAATTGACTAAAAAATAAAATGGTAATATTATAAATAATTTTAAAATTANAAAAAAAAAAAAAAAAAAGTATAAAAATCGTGATATTATGAACTAGAACTAATGATATTCTTAAAATTTCTCCATTCAAATCTTAAAAGTGTGATATATTTGGAATTATCACCCACCTCGTGTGTGATTGACCTCGGTGATCACTTTCCCCCCAATATGCAAAAGTCATCCCATCAGGAAGAAAATAAAGGCAAAGTTTGACTGTTATTCTTGAGGATAATGCTATATATATATGGTACCCACACTTTAATTTGCGGGTTGATCCCCAAAAAATAATCTAAATCATAAGTTTTGGTTTAATCTATTCATAGTCATTGATCATGAAAATAATAAATTAAGATGAAATCATGAAATAATAAATATTGAGTCTGTTCGTAGTTAGCTTAAATATATAACTTTTAAGAATTTTGGAATAAAATAAGTTAAATCTGTTTGGATCTTGATTTTTTTATCATCTTATACAACAGTTTTTTGAACCACAAAAAGTTTATTTAGACTGATTCAAAAGTAGATTTTATGAGTTTTTCTTCTCGTTTATAGAGTTTTGTCGTGGATTTCACGTAATTTTTTAGTTTATTATATTTATAAAATATTATTAGTGACCTAAAAAAATTAAAATTCATATTTTGAGTGCTATTATGCATAATCTATACATACATGTAATTATTTTTTTATTTTCAAACAAAAAAAAATAGAAAGTCGCTCCTAACAAAAAGTAAAACAAAGTGTGATCATGATGTTCTGATGACGAATTTCACAGCTCTCTGAAACAAAGTATAGTAGTATCCTCCACTTAATTGGATGAACAAGGTCTTAGATAAGTTAAAAACTTGTCAAGCTCTTACCTTACCAATACCTAACAAGAAGAATTTTTGCTTCCCCTTCTTTTTTCTTTTTCGTTTTTTTTTTCGGTTCATGATGTGTATCTTTTAATTTCTTGATAAGCACAGCTTACAAATTATTAGAGGACATTTTTTATTGCACGAGAGAGTAAGACTGTACATATTTGACTATTCTCAAACCTTACGGTGACCGAAGCCTCATGGGTAAGTTATACAGAAATTGCATGACCAATTCAAGTGATTTGAAAGGTTGAAGCGCCGGACATGAAAAGCTTTTTTTATTAAACAAGGAAGAAAAGTTGAAGAATAGGTTTGTCAAGAGCTACTTTGAAAGAGAAATCCATGAAACATCAGTTGTAATAGTTAAGGCATTAGGTGACCAGAAAGGTGTTTTTAGATTCAATAATGGAATGCGAATGGACTTGAACAATGACATCTCTCTTTCTCATATTAAGATAACATGGAGGGAAAAGACCAGTCAACTTCAATTGCCCTATCAAGAACATAGTAATTAGAGCCTTACTAGCCTTAGTTTTTCTCTCTTCTATTCATACTATATTACATCTGGTTCTGCTAAGCTACTAAACCATATTTATTTGTATGTGTTCTTCAATTTTCTTCTCCCCTTGATGCAATTAGCTCAGAGTTGGGGAGCATTGGACCTGAATCGGATTTTTCCTCGAATCAACAATAATTGATCATGTCCATAGAGTACTCTCCCATAACGATCCTAGATTGTTTTCGTCGAGGAAGCTCAAATTACTCGCAAAGCTATGTTGGTTATCAGTGAAGTTGTCGAAGGATTGTGGTGGTGATGCTTCCGGGGACTGGGACATTTCCATGCAAACCAATGCCATGAGGTTGGCTTGTTGGCAATGCATATTTACTAGCTCAGCTTGTGCCTTTGCTAATTGTGCTTGGAGCTCACTGACTTGTCTCTGAAGTTGAGAAATTGCACCTGCACATCCGTAAACTGGGTCTCTAAGTCTGGCATTAGCCTCGTATACCATGCTACTCACGGCATCAGCTCTCTGAGACTCCGGTAATTCCTGAAGTTCAAACATTTGTGAACGATCTAAGCAACTTACAACAAAGAAAGAGGAAGAGAAACAATAATGTTTTTACACATAAAAGTATAAACTAAAATTTTAAGGGGGTAAGTTTGAAAAGCCAAAAGAAGTCAACACCATCCAATGCAAGTACAAAAGCGGTAGTTAATATGGTAATGTGATAGGCCCACCATGTCTGTTGGTTCTTTCTCTATCGACCTTTTGAAATGCATGGTGTCATGAAAGTTAAATTAGTTGAGTACATAGGGCAGTTTGGGAAATTCACTTCATCTACCTCCCCCATGTGAACCAACTTTTTTTTTTTTTCAATTTGCGACGCAAAACAAGGACAATAGCATACTAAAATGGTCGCCAATACATTCCCACCTTTAGACTATGATGCCAAAGCACTCCTAAATTCAGTTTCAAACTATCATGCCTAGCTTAGGATATTTTCCACATGGAATATTAAAGTTTTTTTTGGGTATTAGGAGACTCGATCTTCAATGGAAAGAGAGCATGAAGACCACCCGAAACCACCTAGGTTACGCTCATGGTACAGTGAGTGAATTTTTTGGTGTTTAAATTTACACTGACTACTCCATCGGATACTAACCACCATAGCTCGAATGTCTTTACAACATATCCCTCGGGAACAAGAATAACGAACAATTTTTAAGTATGAGAAGTGTTGAACAGAATATTTCTAGGTTACTAGAGATTGGGTTCAGCCATTAACCCCTAATCTTTTGTTATATGATGAGGTGAGGTTGAATGAAACATTTTAGCTGTACTAGATATGTTGAAATTCCTAATAATAACAGAGATTGTAATGGCTTCTTTTGTTATATGTATATATGAACATATATATCGGAAGTTTTGTAGATCAGGTGATGATCATTAGGAGGACTTTGAACAGTTGAAGCAGAAATAATCTTGTTATAGCCTTATTAAGTACCTGCAGGAACTTGATTATATTGCTAGCACCGAAGACACGATGAGCAGTGGTGAACTTGAGAGGGTCATTGGGAGGAAAATAGGGTGCCAGCACACACTTCTCTGCGCATCTTCGCCTTAGAATCTTACAGGCTGCACATGGGGTAATTACGACGGACGGAGGAGGTGGAGAAGACGATGAAGAAGGTGAAACAGAGCGGGAAGATGGTGAAGTAATGGTCGTTGCAGTTGTGTCACTTGACTCCATAATAGCGATATCAAGAGAGAGAGAGAGAGAGAGAGAGAGAGAGGAGGTTTGAGGGTGGTGTCTTTAAATTGTCGCACAAAGATGATAATATATATAGGGAAAGTGAAGCCCGGGAAAGTGGGGGAGGGATGGGGAGTGATTAAGTAAATTGAATTATGTCGTTATTATGACGTCACTTTGTTGAAAATTGTGGGCCACGTGGTAGCGGCTATCACCCGTTTTCTTCAATCGGTTAGGTTCGCAACCCGTTTTTTGGCCTTGTTATGTGAAAAAACTCAACAAGTTTGAAACTTTGAAGTTGGAAGATTAAGACTTTGTGTGATGTTATATATATATACATATATACTACTTTATATGTTAAAACTTTTTTGAATTGTCTTGCAAAAACGTATGTTTAGGGAAAAATTGTGACTTTAGAAGATAGAGAAATAGAAAATGGCTTTTTCAATTCTTTCCCTTGTCTTATGTATGACATTGGAGGTATGAAAAATATGTTGTTTATAATCTTGAAGTTACTGTCACCCAATTGTATACGTTTTTGGTGTAAACATAAAGAGGAGCAATGAGCCGGTTAAGGCCGTCAAGGTCACTAAGCGACGACTCATGCTCGCATGTAAACTAAGGTTTTAGCGTGAGTATTGGCTTATCGAAATTCATATCTTTTTTATTATGTTTTTATTTAATAATAAATTATCTGTCGTATATAAATGACGAAATCACTTATAAAAAATAGATGTTACTTAAATTCATAATAAGTAATCTATAGTGAAAATATAGTGGTGAAAAGAATCTCAATTCGACCTATTGTATTTCCATCGGATAAGTTTTGAAGGAATTTTTAATGGGTTATCATTAAAAGGGACCTTTAATTGGTCATCATGGGTTTTTTATTTTATTAAAAAATTAATAACACTTAAATATTTTGAATTTTGATGGGACCGTTGGGTCAGGCCGTCATATCACCCCATACGTCTAACAAGGCACCGTGTGATGGGCTGGCCTGGCCCACGGTTAATATTCCTACCCTCACGTAACTTGAAAGAAAAATAAACAATGTAAGTCATGAGAGAGAGAATGAGAATTATGATTTATGTATAATAGAATGTCCCTGAAAAATCTTGTAAACTACATTTTCTTGTAATAGAAGTAGCTATTAGCTAGAGCAGCTTCTTTAAAATTTCAAGGTGAACAAGGTTACACTCAATACGGCGGAAAGAAATTGAGGGCTAAAAACATTATTATTTAACACTTTCTGTTTCAAATATAATTATCAGAATGCAAAAGCAAGCTTTATGTGTTTTCAATCTTTTGTATTGTATAATTGATTCAGATCTTTAAACATGGCAATCNTAATTATTTAACACTTTCTGTGTTTTCAATCTTTTGTATTGTATAATTGATTCAGATCTTTAAACATGGCAATCTACATCAATTACGTGTGGATGTGCTTAGTCTTTTCTTCTATCGCCATCGGGTTTAAAAAATATTGGATGTGCTTAGTCTACTCTTAAGAGTCACATCATCTAAACATNTCTACATCAATTACGTGTGGATGTGCTTAGTCTTTTCTTCTATCGCCATCGGGTTTAAAAAATATTGGATGTGCTTAGTCTACTCTTAAGAGTCACATCATCTAAACATAACAATAGATCGAATTTACCGTTGTGTTTACAGCTATATCAAAGATCTGTCGTCTTTCTTCTAAATTTTCTATGAATGAAAATTCTAAGTAGAAAACCTTGTTTTTCCTTGGCAAGAACAAACTTATGTCTCTCCTGAATTCTTGGACTTAGGTCATAGTGCAATTGGAAATAATAGTCAAGTTTCTGCTTAGAAAATATCGTATATCCACCACTCACAAAGTAAATAAAAATGGCTTTGACATGACATGTGAACCATGTAAATATGAAAACGTCATTGCATGTGGAATAAAGGAGACGGAGAAAAAATTAAAGCATAAGTAGAGGGAGACTCAAATTGTACAAATGCATCGTTTCCTAATTGTTTGCTCAGACTCAAATTGTTACTAATAATCTCAGATCGAGACGAGATGAAATCAGAAGAGAATATATATTAGAGAAAATTATCGTAACAATAAGGACACCTGTACGATCATTAGGGATGGGATTTAGAATGTGAAAGTGGCTGCTAGTTAATATTAAAAGGGTCATTTCGTGGGGTTGATTACCACCACTATTGAGACAATTGCACTCTTCCTACTCCCCCAACCACCATTTCAGTACGTGGCTGTTGCTTTGGTGCTGAAAATGACCCAACACAGCGAGAGAGAGAGAAGCCAAAAGTGGGGTTAAGGTGGGTGAAGAGCCGGTCAGCTCGTTTGGCATGAGGTTAGAAAAAAAACAAATAAGAAATCTGTTATTTACTTAGTTTGATTTGGTCTCAAACTCTACTCTCTAGCTGCCATTCTAAGCACTAGTCGTCCCCGTTTTTTTTCAATGTATGAGTTAAGTTACTGTAATTAAAAAGTTAAAATTTAAATAAGTTATTGTGGTTAAAAAATTAAAAATTAAAATTTCAATGAATTGTAGTAGTTAAAAGGTCAAATTATAATCTAAACCGTGAGATCAAAACAATCTGGGTTGTTATTATAATTTTCTATACGAGGAACTTAAGTAGGTCAAGCAAGAGGCTATGTTTTATTATTAAAGATTGTGATATTTTTCCTCACACTGCAAGAAAAAAGTTGGTTAAATTATTTTGAAGATTATATTTTTTTATACCTATGATGAAAATTCGTTCGTGTGCGAGTTTTTCATCAATTCATGTGTTAACCGTAAAAATCGAAACCTATATATGTTGAAAATGTGATAAACAACTACTCTTGTCAATTGGACTAGACCTTTGGCTTGGCTTCTAGAACATCACACGTGATTCCTCCATACACTTACCAAGCACATTGTGCATAAAGTTCTTGATTTCTTAAGTTTTGTCCAATCATGCTGAATTTTTAACAATGTAGTATCAAAATCTAGAGTCTCGATTGCTAACAATAACAATTTAATTAGAAACGCTTCAACTTATCCATCATTCTTCCCAAGACTCTATAAAATATTTAATTGCTTAGTCCAAAGAGATGCCACTAATTTCCTACTTTTAGTCCAATGATTCAAAGTTTCCATCTCATTTGAAAAATCTAAGCTTTNCTTAGTCCAAAGAGATGCCACTAATTTCCTACTTTTAGTCCAATGATTCAAAGTTTCCATCTCATTTGAAAAATCTAAGCTTTTAGCCCTTTGGTGGAAGTAGTTGGACATGGATATTTCATTTCTCTCTCTCTCTCTCTATATATGTGTGTGTGTGTGTGTCTCTTTTGCGTGTGGACCTATCAAAAGAAATAAAGGGGGGAAATCGTACATGCTTAGCAGTAAACTATACTAGTGATTTACCATTATAGTAAAAATTTGTTGGCGACAGCTTATGCCTGTTAATAAATCAAATTTTAATCGAAATCGCTAGTCAAATAAGGATTTGTTTTTTTTTTTTTTATATGGATTGCCAGTACTCAAGTCAGTTACGCTATATCATACGACACGAATTAGGATATGAATATGCCTACATTCAATTGGAATGTGATCTCACATGAAATATGGCATATATATACAAAATATATCATCAAATTGGGTGTTTATTTAATGAAATTGAATTAAGATTCGAATATAATTAGGTAAAAGTTAACTTTACTAATTTAAAATCATGTTTTTGAATTGAATTTGAACGAAGTGAGATATTCGAATTCTAGTTTTCAAATCAACTTTATATTTAAATTAATGGGTTAATAACACTTTTAATCTTTGAAGTATGTATTTTTTGTCAGTTTAGTCCTCATTGTATCAATTTTGTCAATTTATTTCCTAAAATATTTAATTTGTGTCTCTACACAAGCAAACTGTCAAGTTTCTTTGACAAAAGTGACTACGTGTCATTTTTTTTAGATGGTATCACTTGTCTAACACGTAATTATTCCGTCAAAAAATTAATAATCCATGTATGCAGGGACTAAAGTGAAACGAATTGACAAAAACATATATATTTTAGGGATCAAAATACTACTAACCTTAAATTAATCAAAATTCGATACATTAATAGAACAACGACCAATAGTAAAAACACACACGCAGCCTCGAGCGTGCCTAAAAATGGAAGAAAAGAGGAAGGGATTGCATGTATAACAACGACCAATAGTAAAAACACACGCAGCCTCGAGTGTGCCTAAAAATGGAAGAAAAGAGGAAGGGATTGCATGTATGTGATAGCCAATTTGTCCAATTGGGACCAGTCGTATTGTCCATTGATGGCCTCTTTGTCCAAAGGACAAGCAATGCAAGTATATTGGCGTGCACAACATGGCAGTTGTACTTTGACGGGGGTTTATTCTTGTTCATGGGATCGTCCGATGCTTTTCTTGTGTTCCTATTAGTGTGTATTTATTGCTTTCATTCATTGTGACTTCCACAAGAAATGCAAGTCTTTTCAAATCAGGAAAAGCCAATTTCATTTCGAACTTATAAGGCGTGGTAATTAAAAAACCAAGTCCACATAAAACAAAAAAAAAATTGTGGGTCCATATTGTTAAAATCTGAATATCGTACAAAAAATTAAAACTTATTCATGTTAAGTTGCGACTCAATAGAATTGAGTTATGATTGATCCTCAAAATTTTGGATGGATTCCAAATTATTGAAATTTAGTATCGATCCAATTTTTTAACCAATTAAGTTACTAGTTGACCAAGGTGTATCATATATTCTTAGTTTTTTATAGGTATGATATGAAGTTTTAGATTCTTCTGTTATACTTGTACTCATATAGATAGATAATGCTGAGCAATATTGTAAAGGTAAATAGAACAATGAGACAAGTTTTTTTTATTTTATTAGGGNTATACTTGTACTCATATAGATAGATAATGCTGAGCAATATTGTAAAGGTAAATAGAACAATGAGACAAGTTTTTTTTATTTTATTAGGGCTTTCTCCAGATAATCTTACAAGTGAAAGTTTCTACAATTGACCTTCATTTAA